GCGCACAAATTGATACGGCAGGAGAAATGAAATGGGCTCGCACGTTCCAGGCTCACTTTTGAATATTGCATGGATCATGTACAAGCCCACTTTTGAATGTTATTTAAAAGCCTGCAAAAATCAATGATCAGACTCAGTCCAAATAGAATTAGTCCTAAATGCACCATTAATACATAAACACAAATTAAGGAGAACTCTCCATCCGATTCGAATCAAATTCTGTCTTCTTCATCTCATTCCTCAATCCTCTGGACGAGACAAACACTACATATCAGGAAACCTTAATTTCACCGAGTGATAGAAGTTTCGAGAAAATGACAATAACGGTAAGACAAGATGACAAAGCACTAGCGACATGAACCCTAGGGTTAGCAAAATGAAAAGTTTGATGAACACAATAATAGACATGGTCTCTGTAATCGTGTTAGAAAGAGATAGGCCAGGGGAAATATAATGGCGAAGAACAAACAAGACAAAATAAATTGGGAAATTCAAACTACGTCGAATGTGGATGCAAGGAATTGAGATTCAAAAAGATGATTAAGTTGGGGAGTTCAAATTGGATGGGGAGCTTCTCTTGGAACTGTGAAGGGGCGTCCCTCCAAGACGAGAGAGGGATCGTGTAATTGGTTAGGGAGACTGGAAATTGGTTTGGGCGGCAGTGGGTCTACCCAATTGGGTTTGCAGTCTTAATCCAGTTAATTTAATCGGGGCAGTTAGTTGGACTAGGATGAAAACAATCTTAACGCGTAAGGAGGCTTTTTGTAATTTATTTAGTTATTTAGTGGCGCAGTTAGGTTCAACAAACGTGAGCCGTGGAGATTAAGAATGAATGATTAAGATCGGCTAAGATACCCGTACCCCGGATTTTGCCCTGGGCACCGTAGAAGTCACAATATATATATATATATATATATATATATATATATATATGGTGGCTACTTTGGTGCACTCACTTTTTTGGGTGCACTCAACTCTAAAAGCGTCCATAATACATCAAATTTTGAACTTTAATTAGTACTCTCAATATAATATGATGATATGACATAGAATCATAACAAATCAATCCATTGCCCTAACCCCTTAACATTCAATTTTGAATCCCAACCCAAAATCTCAAATTGTAAACCTAAACCCTAACCCTAAATCCCTAAATCCTAAATCCTTCGAATTAAAGTAAATTCTGAATGAATTGTTTTCAAATTCATGTGTTTCTTGTTCATAATATCATAAGCAACAATTGATACTGTTTTGACATGAATCGCATGGTCAGAATGACAATTATGAGACAGTGCACCCGAAAAAGTGGGTGCACCGAATACAGCACCATATATATATATATTATTGATCAAATTTTGTGAATTTCAAATATTTCTCAGGTGCGAGGATGTGTGGGTGGTTAGTTTGTGATTTACATTAACAAGGAGGAAAGCTCAATAACGAGGAAAGCTCAATAAGGTTTCTGCAAAAAAAAGGATATGCAAATGGTTTTTTACCATATTGATACCGTGAATCATATTGAAAACATCAACAAATCGATAACTGAATTGCTAACGACATTGAGAAAATCTAAATTTGGTTTTGAACCGCTTTACATCAATCACGCACAAACGCCACAATAGGGCTTCTAACAATGTGGCCGCCATCATTACTCCAAACCAGAGAACCAGAGATCGTAGAGTTCCCCAATGCAGCCGTGACTGTCACAACAAACTCTTGTTTCTCCCCAACGCTCTTGAAGTTAAGCGCATCTGGCACAACCTGAACCTTAAGTCCCGACGGTGCATTTACTGTCGCCTTGTAGCTAGACACCGGCTTCCCAACATTAGTGACGGTCCTATGAAACACTTGGGTCACAGAGTCCCCAGACGTGGACGACGATAGAGCGAAAGAAGGATAGTTCAGATCCCACATTGTCCCGTTTGTCGTCGTTGAACAAGCACTTTGATCTCCTGTCACAAGGCGGAGTTGTTTCGTGGTGTATCCTTGGCCGCAAAGCAACTTAACGTAATCACTCTCCCCTGCATCATATACTAGCCCAGGGTCTGCAGCTCTTGCAGGGTCGATTTGGCCCGACCCATATGCAAACTCAGCGTCTGCATTGTCTTGGACACTCAGCGAACGAGCTGCAAATGAGAAAAACTCACGTGATAATCGGATAGATATTCTTAACAGCAAGTGGATATCAGTTCAACAGGATGTAGTATATGTACCTGTTGTCATTAGAGCAGACTTGATGGCGGCAGGAGACCAAGTAGGGTGAAACGATTTAACATAAGCTGCAGCTCCCGACACGTGGGGGCAAGACATGGATGTCCCAGAGATGATGTTATATGGGACGATTCTCTTGTCTCCAGTTTGACCTGACAAAGTGGTTCCTTCAGACCATGCAGCCAAGATGTTCAATCCTGGTGCTGTCAAGTCCGGCTACATAATAACAATCAAAGAACCATCAGGATTCATCCAAACCCTAGCGAACCATTTGACAATTTTCCTTCTTGTGTTTTTGCCGTCAATTGTTACCTTAAGGATGTCACTTGTTATGGGATTAGGACCCCTTGATGAAAAGAACACCACATGAGGGGATGAACTAGAATCTATGTATTCAGAGGTCTTCGATATCACTGCAGTTGGATTCCTGCAGGTACATCACAAATAGTGCAGTTAGAGGTTAAGCCACTTCTTTGACATCATGTATCAGTCTGGCAATATATACATGTAGTTCATTTGAGTATATAAACCTTGTTGAATTTATGTATTCCAGAAGTTCAGCTCCAGTAGCAGCACCCAGGAGGGAAACGGGTAAAGGGAATGGAGATTCCATTTCTGCATAAGGTGAAGAAGATTGAATTACAGAACCAATGGCACCCGCTTCGATCTGTCCCTCTACGGAACCGGAAGCATCATCGCAGTACACAATCTTCCCTTGCACGAGAACCTTGTCCAATGAGCCTGGATAACAGTACCTACAATATTTATGAGTGGGTCAGTTTTTGACATGATTGCCTTGCGATTTACTGACTCCTAAGTCTTAACACTACGTTTATATAAAGGTCTTGAAAATTGTTCACCTGGACGCATCACCACCAGACGTCTTATTTGGCGCATCGCGACCATAGATTATGGGATACATCTTCTGACCAGGCTCAAATGTATTCAGAGAGCTTCCCTGCATAGCATAGCGTTGGAAAAGAGTCCATGTACGTAGTGCAGTGCTGGAATTAGGAATTCCCGAAAACCCCAACCCAAAAAGAAGAAAGACAAAAAAATCAGGCCAAACAATAATTAGCAGGATTCAGCCATCTCACCTTGATAACCTTTCCAGTGCCTAACTTCACATTAGTCGCAAACTTTCTGTCTGTGGTGCTAGCAGCCACGGAAAGCGACCAAGGAGAGCAATTCGAGACAGTTTTAGGAGCAGGGCCAGCATTACCAGCTGAGTTGGACGTAAGAATTCCGTTTTTCATGGAATGGAAAGCCCCAATAGCTATGGAGTCTTCAAAATAATCAACTGCAGAAAACCCACCAACCGAAAGGGAGATTATGTCGACTCCGTCTGCGATGGCATCATCGAACGCTGCTAGAATGTCAGCGTCGGAACAGCCAGCAGACCAGCAAATCTTGTAAACAGCGATTCTGGCAGAGGGTACCCCTCCTCGGGCTGTCCCAGAAGCAATGCCAAGGACACTGGCAGGTGTTACAACGCTGCCTGCTGCAGTGGATGCAGTGTGAGTCCCATGACCTTCGGAATCTCTGGGGGATGAGAAATCTTTTGTGGTAAAGTTGGCTTCAGTGTGGTAGTATCTTGCTCCAATGATTTTACTGCTCAAAAGGAGTCAAATAACAGAAGGGGGAAAAAGATTTTAGTAAATGGCTAGTAAAATATGGTAAACACTAACTTGGATATTAAACGCAATTTTTACTTATTATATGAAAATCAGGTAAATAAGGTCATGACTCATAACAGTGGGGGGGCACTGAGTGGTGATTGGTGAATTACTTGTTGCAGGTGAAATTGGAAGAGGACTGGCAGGTGCCCTTCCATTTCTTTGGAGGAGGACCATAACCTGAATCGTTGAAGCTTTGGGATTCAGGCCAAACTCCAGTGTCGAGCATTCCAATGATAATTTCGCTCTCCACGGTTGCCCTTGTAATGTTCTGTGGGAAACCCAGGAAGTCCCAAGATCTTGTGGTGTGGAGTTTTTTCATCCGACTAGGAAACACAGACACTACATCTTTGTATCCTGGAAACATAAAGCCAGAGAATAATAAGAATTGTTTTATTGAAAGAGCTAGATTAGTTAGCCTGTTATGAGTTGGTTGAATTTTGCTAGACCCACCAGCTAGTCTGTCCTTCTGGGACTCAGTCAGCTTGGCAGCAAAGCCGTTGAAGCTCCTGTGATAGCTATAGACCAAGGAATCTGCTGCAAGCCTTAGACTGGACAAAGACAAAGACACATCCCAATTCATATTTATGTCATGTTTCGAACCGATCAAATGAGATGTTAAATGTTTTCTTCTTGTTTTTCTTACCTGCCGGTGGCGCGGTGGAGCAAGCTGCGGTGGAGTGCGGAAGGTGGAACATCCACTTTAGGGCGGTCGCCCATGTACACGATGTATAACTGCAACCATGCAGGCAAACTCCATCGTCAATGAATGAGAAAAATTATATTTTAAATGGAAACATAAGGCAAACGGAAAGGAATGTGTAAGAACTGAGAACATGATGATCATAAGTAAAACACATGAAAGGGTAAGCCAATGGATATGCCTTTCTGTCTCTATGTAAGTTGTCACTGCCAGCAGTACTGCCTCTGCAACTCACGACTAGACAGCATGCTACCACCACAAGAAGGCATGATGAAGAAAGTAAAGAAGCCTGTATACCCATTCCCATGTTTTCAAATGGTTAGTAACTTCTTCTAATTTTAATGTGTTTTGTTTCCATTGCAAACACAATTTTGTTGTAGTGCTTTTATAGGAAAATTAAACATAGATAATAACGACCAGACCTGGAACAAATTATATGTATGACAAAAGAGAGGACACTTACCTATTACAGACATCAGCATCAACCATAGGTTAAAACAATGGATCGCATCAGGTAATCCTGAGTCCTACCCACATCTCCGCATCTAATTCGTTATTACATCTAATCTAAAAAAACGATTACAGCAACATAAGATTGAACTTGGAATCCTTTCCCCATATGAAAATCAACTATCAATATGACTCATGAACTAATATCCGTACTTTCCGTCAGTCTTCTGCAGCTTGCACTTCACTTGGCCAGCTCAGTCAATGTGTCTTAAAACACGGCTGAAAACACAGCAATTGGACTCCTCACTCGATGCTCTCCATCATCCCACGTCAAAGATGCCGAGCTTATGTTCCCAGCCATGGCTCCTTCAATACTCAAGGTAAACAACTTCTTCTCGCCAAGAGAATTGAAAGATAGTAAACCAGGAGTCACATGAATCTTCAGCCCAGGTGGGGCACTCACTATCGCCTTATAACTGGAATTTGCTGCCCCAACATTAGTCACAACCCTCTTATAGGCTCTGCTGACATTTCTTGAAGAACCCGAGACCGGAAGGGCAAAAGAGGGGTAGTTCAGCTCAAAAACTGTCTGATTGATCGCCTGAGAACAAGCAGACCGATCTCCGGTTACAAGCCGCAACACCCTTGTGCTGTAGCCTTGTCCACATAAGAACTTAACATAGTCTATTGGTTCAGCATCATATATCAGCCCAGGATTCACAGCCTTGACAGGGTTAAGTTGCCCTGCTCCATAGGCAAGTTCAGCATCAGGGGTGGCCTCAGAACTCATTGGAGAAGCTGCACAAGGGGAGTTTTAAGTAAGAAATTAGAACTAGAAGCTGCATCAGGAATATGACCAGAAATCTGAACTTGCTGCTGCTTTGCATAATTTACATGTGGTCATGAGGGAAGACTTGATAGCAGAAGGGGACCATGTGGGGTGAAAGGATTTGACATAAGCAGCAGCGCCGGTTGCATGCGGACAAGCCATTGATGTTCCTGAGATGATGTTGTAAGCAGAGAATCTAAGATCTGCTGGTAACTCGGTTATAGGACTCACTGGAGACCAAGCCGCTAGAATGTCTACTCCTGGTGCGGCTATATCTGGCTGCAAGCAATTATACATTATACCAAGAAAGCAAGATCCTACCTGATTGAACTACTTTCGATGGTGTTTTCCAACTTTAGATGTACCTTGAGAATATCAGGAGTGATTGTATTTGGACCCCTTGATGAAAAGACAGCAATCATTGATGCCAACTTATCCTTGGCTTCTGTACTTCTCCTTATGGTAGCAGTTGCATTGCTGCGATTGCAAATTCATTTATTTTGGTTAACTGCTTTCACCATAATCTCTTTCTATTACCTGAATCAAAGTGCAGTTCTCGTACCTGTTTCTGTTAATATAGGTCAAGACTTGGCCAATGTCCTGAACAGGAAGCTGAGATGCAGGGATAGGAAACAGATCAGCCACGTCCTGAAAACCTGGCATCACACTGCCAACTGCACCTGCCTGAAATGGTACTTCTCTATCCCCCTTGGCACAAAGAACAATCTTCCCTTTCACCAGACGTGGATCCAAGGAGTTGTTAAGGCAGAGCCTGAGGTGCAACATACAAGCCGAGTTCGATCCAAAATCAAAACTTGATCCAGGAACTCCTTAAAAAATAAACCCATATGTAGTAGTTTTGAAAAAGGAAGCTGCAGCCCTTCCAAAGCCATTACCTGGATTCCAAACCAGTGAAGTTCAAACTGGTGTTTGGGACATATCCAGCATAAACGAGAGGGAACATTGTGCCGTTCAAGTCAAACATATTGATAGAAACACCCTGTACAAGAGAGCAAGCACATCCACAAAAGGTCAAAACTTTGTAATTCAGAAGCGAAGCAATCAAACAAGAATGCAGATGCAAACCCCTAGAAATGAATTGGGGGAAAGGAAAAATACCTGGTAACTAATGTTGTTTCCAAGCTGCACTTGAGTGACAAACCTGCGATCAATGGTGCTAGCTGCCACGGAGAGCGACCAGGGAGAGACATTACCCATGGTTCCCCGGTCAGGACCGGCGTTACCGCCGGCATTCGAGGTCAGGATGCCATTTTTCATGGCGTGGAAAGCTCCGATTGCTATGGGATCTTGGAAGTAATCCGTGGCGGAAGAAGCCCCGGCTGAAAGCGAGATGATGTCGACCCCATCGGCGATTGCATCGTCGAAGGCCGCCAGAATGCTCGAGGCAAGGCAGCCGATGGGCTCAGGGAGACAGATTTTGTAGACAGTAATTCGAGCCGATGGAACTCCGCCTCGAGCTGTTCCGTTGCCGAACCCGTCGAGGCTGGCACCCGGAGCGAGCCCTCCGGCGACCGTGGATGCGGTGTGGGTTCCATGGCCTTTAGAATCTCGAGGCGATGCGAACTCGCCCGCCGGCGGCGGCTGCCCGGCACTGTAAAACCGTGCCCCGATGATTTTACTGCCATAGGGGAAATAAGATGATCCGCTATTTAAATGGTTGATGTCTCTCGTGATCCCCAACTTTTATTTTTCTAGCAAAACTGACCCCCTATAATGTTTTTCTTCCAGTGACCACATCCCTTAACAAGTCAAATTTAACAAATACATCCTGCCGTCATAATTTCAGTCCAAGTGACCACATCCTCAGTAATTGTATATGCCAAGCCAACAGATTTTGCAGTTGAAGAGTTAAATGGTATAGGCAATGTTATGTATGTTACTTGTTGCAAGTGAAGTTGGAGGAAGATTGGCAGATTCCTTTCCATCTGGCTGGAGGTGGACCGAGCCCTACATCGTTGAAGGACTCGGATTCCGGCCAAATTCCGGTGTCCAGCATCCCGATGATGATGTCACGTTCAAGAGCTAGTCTTTCAACATTTTGAGGGAATCCGATGAAGTCCCATGACCTTGTCGTCTGGAGTTGATAGCTTTCGTCGCGAAAAATGGATACTACTCCTGCTTGTGCTGCGAAGTTGAAACCAGCTCCTTATTGGCATTGGAGGTTACAAGGGTTAATGGAGCATAAAAGCAGCTTATTTGGATCATTGAGTTCATTAGTATCAGCCGGAGTACTCACAGGCAATCTTTTGTGCTTCATTATCAGTTAACTTGACAACAAACCCATGAAAGCTCCTCTTGAAGCTTTTCACCAGTAGATCCTGGGAGAAGTTGCTGCTGCATCCATCCATTTTTGCCATTAAAAGCAGCTAGGTAAGCTACATAAATGAGTAGAGTAGTCGTTTTTTTCTCCTAACGACTAATGAGAATTTGGAAGCACGTACCTGCCAACTACACTCTGTATCATACTGACGTGAAGGGAAGCTACAGATAGCTCCCCAGCAACATTAACTGGTCGTCCTCCCATGTACACAATAAATCTCTGACAAAGTTGTGCAGTACAAAATACACGCATTAATCTTAGGAAAGCTGATAACTAATGGGCAATCATGCATTGTAGTGAAGCAGTAGAAGAAGTACCTTGCGGCCATGGACGTCTTCGGAATTAGCAGCAGAGCTTAGCTTGACTACGAATGGGAGAACCAGCAGGCTGAGAATGAACAAAACCCATATTTATATACATCATGTATGCATGGAAGCAAACCACCAAAAGCTTTGCCTAAGCCATTTGCCGTTCAATTCCATTGATTCCTTGCTAGCTTCTCTATGACGATGATCATTCAAACATAGTTTTTTTTATGTACCTGCTCTCCGTGTACCTTTTGGAGCCCCCTAAGTCCTACAAATGGTGAGATTTATGCATACACCGTTGACTAATGCCGTTCTGCAACTGGCCAGCAGCCGGCCGGCTAGCTTCAATTTTCAAATCTTGTTTAGCTATGGTGATGACTAAAACTTATTAAAACTATGTAAGGAATATTGGATTCATTCCCTAACATCACCCTCCTTACTTAATCTGTCAAGATAAAAACTACACGTGAAGTAACTCCCTGATTTAGTGTAGTTATCAAATGCTGTTGCCTTGTGATCGACTGGATGAAAGACCTGTAGTATATAAGTGTTTGGAAAGGTATCTACAGCATAGATGATATTATATTTGGCAGTAAACGAGTGATGAAGATGATATTATATTTCAATGTAGATGAATCAAAAGTAACATTACAACTTTGATTCTGCTATAACTGCAAATATTATTTACCAGAACATATACTTGCATCCAACATGCCACCAACTAAAATTTTCCCATAGAAACTAAGGAGGTTCACTCGCGGGATGACATAAATGCAGCAATAGGACTCCTTACTACATGCTTCCCATCACTCCAGACAAGAACACCAGAGATGGTGTTCTGCCCAATCACGGTAGAGACTGTCAAAGCAAATGACTTTTTCTTCCCAATAGTCTCGAAACTAAGAACACTTGGGCTAACTCGAGCCTTAAGGTTTGCTGGTGCAGTTACCGTGGCTTTATAGGTTGCATTTGCTGATCCAACATTTGTGACGGTTCTGTGAAATACCCTAGTCACAGAGACTCCTGATCTGTTTGCTGATAGGGCGAAACTAGGATAGTTTAGATCCCAAACGGTTCCATTTGTAGCTGCAGTGCAAGCACTCGGGTCTCCAGTGACAAGCCGGAGTTGTTTAGTCGAATATCCCAGGCCGCAGAGAAATTTGACATAATCCTTCTCCCCAGCATCATATACAAGTCCAGGATCTGCAGCCTTGATGGGATTGATTTGTCCCGTCCCATATGCTAGCTCAGCCTCAGGATTATACTTGGCACTCAGGGGTCGTGCTGCATGTTAGGAAATATAGATTAGTACAAATTGTCTTCAAACTGTTTCTTGCTATCTTTAGAGATTATTCACAGAATTGGCTAAAGGGTAATGCTGATAGATTTCCATAGTGACATGAAGACCTGTTGTCATAAGAGCTGACTTAATGGCAGCAGGGGACCAAGTGCGGTGGAGTGATTTAACATAAGCTGCTGCTCCAGTTGCATGGGGGCAAGACATTGAAGTACCAGAGATGATGTTGTATGCGATAACTCTTGTGTCCCCAGGTTGACCTGTCATAGTTGTACCTTGAGACCACGCTGCTAGTAGGTTTACTCCAGGTCCTGTCACGTCCGGCTGCATATACATGATCTTATCAGATTAAGCTAAGGAAACCAAAACAACAAGAACCAAAACTGAGAGCTACTTCATTTTTTACTTTGAGAATGTCGGGGGTTATCGGATTGTGACCCCTCGAGGAAAAGTAAACCACATAAGGAAATGAGCCGTCCAAGTAGTCAACTGTCTTATAAATCACTGCAGTTGGGTCACTAGCAAAAAGAAATCACAAGAACTCAACATGAAGTCCATTCATACATTCAACAATATGGTGCAGCAATCCATTTCTGCTGTACCTGGTTGAGTTCGAGTACGTCAAAACATCGCTTCCATCAGGTTTGTTTAAGAGAGGCACAGGAAGAAGGAAAGGAAACGCCACATCTCCCTGTGGATAGTTTCCCATTATGGCACCAGCAGCACCTGCCTCTATAGGTCCATCTCCCAGGCTGGCAACCTCACAATAAACAATTTTCCCTTGCACCAGGTTTCTATCCAAGGAACCCGAGTAGCAATACCTGCAATGGTTTTGTAATGATAATGCTAAAATTGCAATGTGTTGTATATATGATTCACAACTGCTTTAGACCCATTTTTCTTTTACTCACTTGGAAACGTTTCCATCATATCCTGCAGTCCTATTTGGTGCATCTCCACCGTATATAAGGGGGTACATCGGTTTATTGGGCAGAAAAGTGTTGAGAGAGCTCCCCTGCATGATTGAGGTAGAAAGAAAAGAAACAAGTTCTGCTGTGGTTAAATCCTTAATCCCCTAATGCAAGTATGAAACACCTAACAACACACAACTTGAAACTTCCAATGCCTCACATTGTAAATTTCGCCATTACCCAACATGACATTGGTCGTCAACTTTCTGTCAATGGTGTTTGCAGCAACAGTAAGTGACCAAGGAGAGTTATTGGAGACTGATCCAGGAAAGGGACCGGAGTTGCCAGCCGAGTTGGAGATTAAAATTCCCTTCTTCATGCAATGGAAAGCCCCAATAGCAATGGGGTCACGGAAATATTCCATTGGCGAACCACCGACCGAGAGCGAGACCAAGTCGATTCCATCAGAACAAGCATCATCAAAAGCTTTCATAATATCAACATATGAACATCCATAAGCCCAGCAGATCTTGTAGACTGCGATTCGAGCCGCGGGGACCCCGCCGCGGGCAGTCCCATTGGCGATGCCATAGAGATTAGCCGGCGTGACAAAGTTCCCTGCTGCAGTGGATGCAGTGTGACTCCCGTGGCCTTCGGAATCCCGCGGCGAAGGGATGTCTCCTGGACCATAATCTCCTTCCGCATGGTAGTACCTAGCTCCAATTATCTTACTACAAAGAAAAAGGGCCATTCCAATTTAAGCTACCAAATTCCAGACCATTATTAGGTTATGAAATTGGGGGCGGGCAAAAACAGAGCATAGTTAGGGTTTAGTGTTTGTTTAATTACTTGTTGCAGGTGAAATTGGAGGACGATTGGCAGCTACCCTTCCATTTCTTTGGAGGTGGGCCGTACCCGGAATCGTCGAAGCTCTGGGACTCCGGCCAGACCCCGGTGTCGAGCATTCCGATGATCAGGTTGCTCTGTTGGCGGCGGGTGGATGTCGAAGCATTCTTGGGGTAGCCGATGAAATCCCATGATCTCGTCGTGTGGAGCTTCGTGATCTTATTGGGGAACACGGAAACCACACCTTCATAGGCTGCCGTAATGAAGGACAACACAGTAAGCAATTGAATCTCCGACGACAGGGGAAAAAGGGGAAGGGGAAAAAAAAAACACCACCGGAAAGTTTCTGATGCTCGGCCTCCGTTAGTCTGGCAGCGAAGCCGTTGAAGGTCCGGTGGTAGCTGTAGATCAAGGAATCAGAGGCGACCTTAGCACTGCCAATGATGCGGTGAAGCAAGCCGAAGTGTAGCGCGGGAAGAGAAGCTTGGCTCTTTGGACGGTTGCCCATGTATGCTATATACACCTGGCGACGGAGAGCCCATTAGCGAAATTTCACGTTTAGTGCAATTATTTATTGATACTGTGCAGATCAGTCCTACAAGTCCACATTTATTACCCAAAAACTCCTTGTTACTATTATTTTTTAACATATGGTCCCATTTTCTAATCTCTTATACAAGTTCCATAGCAAATGTGTACTGTACATAACAATGTGTGGATATGCATAAAATAATGCATGAATATATGATGTGTGACTTGGGTAGCGAATAGGTATATAAATATAGACATGGTGATGTTTATAAATCGGAATCTGTTTCGTGTGTTCGTAACAAATGATTCTCTCGTGTTGTAGAAATTAAGCGATAACTATGAAAACACTAGAGTTCAGGAGAAAACTGATGAAATAAAAGCATAAAATAAATAAAGACATGGTGAAGTAATATTATTGAAGCTAGCTAGAAAAGAAATGCCTTTCTATCTTGAACAGAAGTAGTGGCACGACAGCAAGCGATGATAAGGAAGAAGCAGGCACAATATGCAACTAGCGTGGCGGCCAGAAACCGCGAAGATGGAGGATTCTTTCCCTGAATTCCCATGGCTGCTGCGTAAGAAGATTATTAGAATATTGGAGGATAGATGGTCTTTAACTTTAGAGCAGATTCTTATTGGGTTGCAATGGAGAAGGGAAAACACTAAAACACACAGAGACTGAAAAGGACAAGAATTTATATCAATAAAACCTGCTGCAGACTGATGATGAAGTTCTCCCCTTGATTGATTCCACGTCTTTCTCACTTAGCTTTCTTACTTATGATCCTGCACTTGTTTATACGGCACTCACTCCTACAATTCGTGATTGGTAAATATGGTGATAATAGAATTATAATTGAGTGTTCATAGTCTTGCACCTGTTTAGAGTTTAATCGGGTGTGAGTTTGTATGAGAAAAGATCATAATAGGGAGAACTACAAATATATATTGAAAAATTGATATAGCACGAGTCAAGAATAGTGAGTAATGGGACGAGATCTATAGGTTGAAAATAATAACTCACGTGACTCACACTATTATAGGTCGAGTAATATCCATCTCAACACGAGTCAAGTCAAATATTACTTGGCGACCGTGAAGGTTCAAATCGTCATTCCTGGTCATCACTAGGGTAATTAGTTTGTGTATATGTTGATTGATTCCATTTCTCTAGTTCGTGGTTTTGGGATCACTAGGGGTAGAACTGTAGAAGCTAGAAACTAACGATGGCTCGTACACATAACTCAAAACATATCATGTTAAAACTGATCGGGAAAATCAACAATGAAAGAGATAATCAGTTTCACTATACTTAAAGAATTATAAATTACAAAGAAATCGAAAAATATATATATATAGTACTTCTCCAAACACCCTAACACTAGTCGTAAAGAATAAAATTACATATCATATCAAAAAAAGAAATTCAAATGTGTATAAGCTCATTCCCATCATTAACAAATAATCCAATTCAAGTCATCAAACATATCCCTATCTTAATAGTGAGGTTGTACAAACTCATTACCAATATTTTATGAACGACAACAATGAATTTTACTCATCCGAAGAGTTATGTGGTAAATGATATACATAAACTCATTCTAACCACCAAGAGGTTAAAACCTTACAAAAATTTACTACCATAAAACTCATTGGATGTCTCTCTACATAGCCGAATCAAACACCACAATCGGGCTCCTAACCTTATGAACACCATCGTCCCAAACCAACGACCCGGACACCGTCGAATTCGCCGCCACCGCACCTTCCACCGTCACCACAAACCTCAACCTCTCCCCCACCGCTCTAAACCCCAACACCCCAGGACTCACCCGAACCCTAACCCCTTCCGGCGACTCCACCACCGCCCTATAACTCGCATTCCCACTCCCTCCAACATTTGTCACCACCCGATTAAAAACCCTAGTCACCACCTCCTCAGCCGTGGCCGAAACCGCTAAAGAAGGGTAATTAAAATCCCACACGGTCTCGTTTCCTCTCTCCCAACAACTCGAGTTATCTCTCGCAATCATCTGCACGGCCGTGGTGTTGTACCCCTGCCCACACAGCAGCCTGACGTAGTCGGGCTCCCCGGCGTCGTAGACGAGGCCGGGGTCGATGGCGCCGAGCGGGTTGAGGTGGCCGGAGCCGTAGGCGAACTCGGCGTCCGGGTTGGCCTCGGGGCTCATGGGGACGGCGGTGGTCATAATGGCGGATTTGACGGCGGCGGGGGACCATTTGGGGTGGTGCGATTTGACGTAGGCGGCGGCTCCGGTGACGTGGGGGCAGGCCATTGAGGTGCCGTACTGGAAGTTGAACCGAGAGGTTCGGGTTTCGGCTGGGTAGGGAGTGATTGGCACGTTTGGGGGCCAGGCGGCGAGGACGTTGACTCCGGGTGCTGATATGTCCGGCTGCATGCATGCAAATTAAGTCAAACGTACGTACGTTAGTTAACCTATGTTTTTTTAAGAGAAATCGTAATGATAAACTAGTTTATAAGATAACGTAATATGTTATAGCGATATTGATGAGAAAACCAATTGATTAGCTTATAAAAATGTGGAGTACTGGAATGATTTTTTTCTTCTTCTTCTTCTTGTGAAAATGTGTGCAAGATTACTGCTTAATCATTAATGAAACGAACGACAAACCTGCAGCCGACAGAGTCATAAAAAACCAATGCAAAATAAGTTGTGTGTAAGAAAATAGGTGAATTTTTATTTACATGATTAACCAATGGAATTACTTAAGGGTAGTTTGGTTGGTGAATTTATAAAATAAGGCAATTTGACTGAATTATTTCAAAATTGCCTAATAAGTCCACAATTGATGTATCACTTTTTGATCCAGTTGTTTCATTTTATTTTTATTTATTATTATTATTATTGTTATAGGATGTTGTAAGGAACATCACTCTGTATATAACACAATATGTCAACACTTGCCAAAAGAAAAGTACCTTAAGAATGTCAAGGATGGCTGGATTTGGGCCTCGAGATGAAAATGAGGCAATATAAGGCGCTTGTTCGTCCTTCCCTACGTTGCTCTTTGATATAGTAGCGGTTGCATTCCTAAAACAAAAAAATTAAATTATAAAAAAAATTCTACAATTAGGAGTTGTAATTGGAGCTGATTCGAATAGTTAAACTCGTACGTTATAATTTCAAATGTTAAATTGACACAAATATATAGTACTATATTCAAATTGTCACTACAACTTATGAATTCATTGGGCTAGTCTTACAATATCAGAGCATATAGCAAGCAAAACCTAGGAAGAAAAATTATCGTAGCAAATTAAACACGTGTAAAGTCGTAATTTTTAATTTGGATTAGTATACCTTGTGGATCTTATGTAGGATAGGATGGTGGAACCTTGACGCCTAGTCAAAACTGAAACCGGTGACGGAGGATTCTCGGCCGGTGCTCCGGCGGGACGGTCGATTGCGACTATGGAACCCACCGCGCCGGCCAAAACAGGGACAAGTGCGCCGACTATGGAGTCACACAACACAATTTTGCCTCTTACTAAATCGGGATTCAACGAGTTGTTTGCACATAACCTGTACGTACAGTTGAAAAGTTAAGTTTTGATTTGACGTATTAAAGCATCAATTAAACTATACTCTAATTATTTGTAATATTACTAATCAACAACTAACCTTGATATGGAGCTGCTGAAATTGCCACTGATGTTAGGGGCATCTCCTCCATAAATGATGGGGTACATAGTGTTCCCAATGTCAAATGTGTTGATTGCGATGCCCTAACATTACCAAATAGATCAAGACGATTAAATAAATTATGGAATATGTGCAATTGATACCCATTAAAAAAAATTCAAACATGATTTTTTATATTTTGAGTCAACACTCGACACTACTCTTCAAAGAATATCGATTTAAAAATATTTCGAGTCAGACGTACCTTTTATTTCGTTCTTTAGTTTGATGTTTTTATGTGTTTGTATGTAAAATACTGAATGGATAATATAAACTATGGATTTAGTTTTTGGCTTCTAGAAAAACTGGTTTTGGAACCTCACAAAATTTAGAGTCTCAGCATCATAAGACTAGTGAACTAGCTAGTCGGTTTAGTTTTGAGTTTTTGTATAAGATACATCTACCTCCAAAATTTCAAGACCCATATTATTTAGTTTCTCTACTGAGCCTCCAAAATTTCAGAACGGACCCTAAATTATTATAACCTAAATTATATCACCACACTAATTCAACAATTTAGAATGCATGAAGATGATTCAACGACGTCAGCACGTTTCAACGGGGATAATATATCCTAGTTAATTATGGCTATTATAAAAAAATAAAAGACATTAAGAAAATGAAAGGAAACCTACTCACTTGGAAAGTTTGATTGTTTCCCAACCGGACTTGGGCAAAGAACTGGCGGTCAATGGCAGTGGCCGCCACGGAAAGCGACCACGGAGAGAAGTTCCTGACCGTGTAAAGCCCCTGAACGCCGTCGTTCCCGGCCGAATCCACGGTCAGTATCCCTTCCTTCATCGCGTGAAACGACCCAATCGCAATCGGATCCTCGAAATGGTCCCGGCTGATTTCCGCCCCGAGGGAGAGCGAGATCAAATCCACGCCGTCGGCGATGGCGTCGTCGAAAGCCGCCAGTATGTCGCTGAAGTAGCACGAGTCCGCCCAGCACACCTTGTACACGGCGATCCGAGCCGACGGCACCCCGCCGCGTGCCGTACCTGTAATGAAGTGGTTAAGTATCGTTAGTGACGGATTCACAAGGTTTTAGAGTGTATTGGGACACTATTAAAGTTTGAAAAAACTAGTATTCAACTTCTAATAGTAGTTTCTAATAGTAGTTTGTGATTATGTATGGTGGGGGGAAAATTATCTGGTGGCAAGACACCAGGGGCTAAGCTATGTAGGCTCTCGGCCCCCCGAGAATTTTGAAATTTACGTATAAAGTCCTAGAAAATTTCGAGAATTACGTATAAACTCAATCTAACGATGAGTATATAAAATCTGAGTGAAATATTCTTAACAACACAGATTTCCAGTCTAGCGGAGAAGCTACCCAGTTGTAGCTACCGGGTTCGACCCTGGTACACAACATTGCTTTTATAATTTTAATTTTTTTTTTCAGTTTAATCCTCTATTTTTTCTTATAAATCCTATAATTTCAAATAAATTCAGTCAAGTTCTTAAACTTTTACATTCATATTTTCAAAGATTGTTTTTGGATATGTAATTAATTAATTTTTAAAAATAATAATATAATCATAAATTCATATTCAAGGTATAAAACAATTACAAAATAATATAATCATAAATTCATATTCAAGGTATAAAACAATTATATGTTAAAATGCATGATAATTTTTGCTCACAGTATAAACATTTATTTTGAGTATAACATACTAGCAAACTTTAAATTATTTATATTTTGAGTTTTATTTTATTTTAATTAATATGTGTCGTTATTATTTATTTTTATCTTTGAATTTTCACGATAATTTACTAAATAAATCCCCCCCCCCCCCCCACCCCCCCAACTTTCAATCCTGGCTCCGCCCCTGCAAGACACCCCAATAATTTGGAAAAACGTTTATCCAACTACTAGTAGTAATTTGCGTATCCATAATGTGATTCGAACTTGGATAGGTTACATATTTTTCTTTAAGCGACCATAAGCGGTCCTTGTATTATAAATCCACATATATCAATAAAAAGTTATTCATTATCCCCAATTATTTTCGGAAGTTAACGATTAAATCTAATTTTGGTCTCCCCTTATCTAATAGGATATATTAAGAGAGATGTTAGAACAATGTTAGACATCGATTGTATTTTACCATTTTTCAGAATACAAATAACATAATGTGCTTTTGTTTTAATTTGTACATATTTTTTACTTAATAATTATATTATAATTAATTTAATTATTTTTAAGGAGAGAACAGTAGTTGGTTTATGAGAGTACCTTCGCCGAACCCGTAAAGGCTTGCCCCGCCGACCAGGTTGCCCGCCGCCGTGGCCGCCACGTGGGTCCCGTGCCCGTTGGAGTCCACCGGTGACCGAGCGTCGCCGGCGGCGAACGTGCTATTAGAGGTGCGGTAGAATTTGGCCCCAACGATCTTGTTATTGCAGGTGAAGTTGTTGGGAGGGAACTGGCACGAGCCCTTCCACTTCGCCGGCGGAGGGCCGAGCCCATCGTCGTGGAATGATTCCGACGCCGGCCAGATCCCGGAGTCGAAGACTCCTATGATGACGTCACTTTCCAGGGATGTTCTCCGAGCTCGTTGCTGAGAGAAGCCCATGAAGTCCCATGATCTTGTGGTTAGGAGCTTGTTGATTTTGTTGGGGAACACTGATACAACTCCTGGCATCCCTGTGCATGATTAACAAAAGAGTTTTTAAGTAATTATACCGATCATATGCCTTTGGCGACGATGGAAAATAACGTGACGAAAAGCAAGATTTTGCGACGACATTTTCGTCGCAGATACTTAGCGACCAATCTAAAGCCTTTAGCGACGAATTAATACCCTTTTCTGTTGTAGTGATTACAGAAGAGTGTGATTAATTACCAGCGATCTTTGAGACTTGGTGGTCGGTGAGGTGGGCTACGAACCCGTTGAATGTCCTCTTGAAGCTATGGAGAAGAGATTCCGAAGCAAATTCACTGGGGGAAAAAACTCCATTATTTCCCGGTGATTAGTGGTAATCCATCCTCAATGTTACAATCTGATATGTTAATTACAGTATAGGTTTAAGCTAATGGTAATTACCTGCCAATAGCTTGCTGTAACATGTTCAAGTGAAGAGACTGAGCAGCGGCTTCACCTCCTTCGTGCCGGTTGCCCATGTAGATTATGTAAGACTGCACAAAACACACATGAATAAGTGGATTATATATCTTTCTAATTTGAGTACTAATCCATATTAGAGTTCCTAATTAATTACCTTTCCATGGTCAGAGTTGCCATGAGAACCGCCAGAACCAATCAGTCCCGTGCTAATTATCATGATGAGCAAGAAGAGAAAAGAAGAAGGTGCATAAATCCTGCTTGCCATGATTGGAATTGCAAGCTAGCTAGCTATAGGATTGAACGTTGTGAAGAAAGAAATTAAAGAAGCTGTTGCAGTACAAGGTGTTAAGAGCTAGCTATAGCTGAAGGGTCTTCATATATATATGAACGGATCGTAGTCGACGTTGACATCATGTTAATGATAACCCATTTGATTAGACAAATAATTGGGTTCACCTGCTCATTATTTTGTATATTTAGGACATGGTCAAATCGGACCGGTGCTTCGAGGAAACTAGTCAATAATCAGCTTCGAGGTCTTAATTAGGAAGGAGTCATGATAATTAGTTGCCTCATTAGGATTGGAACGGTCAGTGAGCCGCCATGGTCTAATTAGTAGGTTTCAGAAGTGAATTGAATACTAACTCGAAGCTTGACCAAGTATATATGTATATTCGTCATGATAGTGAGACAAAAGTCAAAAGTCATGTAGAGGAGGGGTCAGGGGTGAAGACCTTATCAAACATTGATATGGGTTTCTTGCGACTTACTGATATGAACGATTTCTTGCACATGTGTGCTTTCTTTTGTTCTTTAATTTTTTGATGGGAATCGCACCCTTGGAATTTTTCTTTCTTTCTTTCTTATAAAAGTGATGACATCCTAAGGGTTTTTTAAAATAGAAGAAGAGCTCCAAGTAGCTTCAAAGTTTGATGTAATCATTGGCTTGTCAAACATTCGTGTCCGTATCCCACTAACGCATCACTCACCTAATTCAATTCTCGTAGAATATGTTAAAAAATATGCTTTTTATATCATTTTTGAACATCTGACGATAATTTTTAAGTCGGTCCAAAATTGAAAGGTCTCATTTGAAAATTTTCAAAAATAACTCCGAGAATCATCACATAACGCTAAGAGTCTGAAACCATCTCGAGTTTCTTTTAATAAATGAATGCAAAGAGTATATATTCTTCACTCATAACCGAGTTTGAAAAAACTACTAAAACTTATAAATAATCCATGTACATCCTTGAGAGGATGGATAGGAAGCTTTCCTCGTGGAAGGCAAGATCCCTCTCATTGGCAGGGAGCTAGGGTGACTCTTGTTATCTCTGTTCTTAGCTCCATTCCCTCCTATGCAATGCAAACTTCAATGCTCCCTCTTTTCATCTGTGATTTAATTGACCAAAAAATCAGAGGCTTTGTGTGGGGTTCGATTGAGGGTAAAAAGAAAGTGCACCTGCTTTCCTGGGACTCTGTGTGTAAGCCTAAAGACCAGGGGGCTTAGTCTTAGGTCTCTAGGAGTTTGAACTTAGCATACATGGTTAAGCTTGCTTGGAATCTTTTTAACAATGAACAAGATCTGTGTTACAGGGAAAATACTTTCATCATAAGAATGGCATAATAACAAAAATAAAGAGTAGTAATCATTCTAGTCTTTAATTGGAAGGGAATTATTAAAGCAATACCCTACATGAAACAGGCCACTCAATGGAGCGTCAGAAATGGGGACACAACTGGGTTCTGGACCCATCCCTGGGTGGAGAATGGTCTGATCATGGAGGAGTTTGCCCTGAAAGAGCTTACTGAGGAAGAACGAAGTGCATCAGTCTCTAGTTGGACTGATGATTCAGGTGAGTGGGGCTGGGATAGGATGAGGGTATACCTCCCTAATGAGATGATCTTTATTATTGCAGGGACAAATACGCCTAACTCTGAGCTAGGAGAGGATCGAACAGTCTGGGGAGTCGAGAAGGATGGCAGGTTCAGGCTCAAGTCAGCCTACTCACTGGTGGCAGGAGATGTGGACAACACTCCATGATGCATGGAGAGACCTATGGAGATGGAAGAGTCTCGGCTGTATCAAGCATTTCCTGTGGCTGGCAAACCACAACAGACTACTCACAAACAAGGAAAGAGAAAAGAGAAAGCTTACTGAAGATGGAATGTGCAACCACTGCAGAACAACAGAAGAAACAACAGAGCATATTCTCTGACAGGTATTGATTTTGGCATAATTTGCTGGAACCTGTGGAAACAACGAAATGAAGAAGCAATGAATGGCAAGACCTGCTCGGAAGCTGGTCTGATTCAGAGGGTGAATGCTTGGATCAACATCAACAGCCAAGCTCTGATTAATGTTGAGAAATGCCTGACACCTGTGCACAAGACCAAATCCAGACTCGAGATTGCCTGGAAACCTCCAAATGAAGGCTAGGTTCAGGTTCAAACTGATGGATCAGTTGTCCAACCTTCTGGTCATGCTGCTGTAGGTAGGGATGGCAATGGGTAGGGTCGGGTGCGGGTTTACCCTATACCAACTCCTAACTCGTTGGGTAGAGCCTCCTAAAATACCCAACCAAATAACCACCGGGTATGAAAATGATATAATCATACCCTACCCACCGGGTAACCACGGATATTCGGGTAACCATGGGTACGAATCCTAAAATATGAACTTATACACATATATGCACATACATATTGTTGTTCATTAAAAATTCTCAATACTTGTAACTGTTCTAACTTCAACAATCTACACAAATAATAAAACACATAATAATTGTTATTGCTTCTACAATCCACACAAACAAAAACACAATACATCTTATTTGTTCTACCTTCAAGAATCCACACATAAACAAAAACAGCAAAGACAAAAAGACTTGGTTCTCCAGCACACATATTTTGTGAAGAGCAAAAGCATTAAGTCCCTGGGAATATTGCATCTTGTCTCTCCTCCATATGCCCAACATTAGTTCCGTTCTACAACAATATAAAAAGATAATCAACATATAAAACAAAGGAAACACAACTTACAAGAACATTTAATTTGGAGAATAGAGATTACCGGTAACACACGAAACATCGTCTACATCTTCATCATCAATAATGGTAGCTAAACTCAATTTCTCAAGCTAAACTCAATTTCTCAAGGGAAATTGACCCTTTGGTTAGCGGGGCGGGTATTATCGATTACCATACTCGTACCCTACCTTTTATTTTGAAACCCGATATTGCCCGTACTCTCCCATTAACCCGTCAAAGCGGGTAATTATCCTCGTTGACCGGTTACGGTCGGGTAGGGTACCCATGGTTACGGGTTGGATTGACATCCCTAGTTGTAGGGGGCCTCATTCGAGACCACCTAGGAAGATGTTTGGGGGAGTTTGCTAGCAATATCAGGAGGTGCACCATCACTCGAGTTGGATTGAAAGGAGCTGTGGAAGGGCTGGAAATGGTCTGGCAGCTTGATCATAGAAGAGTGAAGCTCAACCTTGACTCTACTACTGGGTTAGCTATTATTAGAAGTAGAAGTAATAGTGATCATTGTCATGGCCACGTTGCTAAGCTCTTTGAGAGCATTCTTGCTAGGGAGTGGGTTGTTGAAATTAACCATGTATTTCAGGAGGGTAATTTTTCAGCTGACTTCTTAGCTTCTAAGGGGCACTCCCTTACTTTTGGTACACATTTGTTCCATGTGAGCGACCCAAACTTGTGCTACTGGCTCTTGTATGACAACTTTGTTTCCTTGTGTCGCGATATTAATGAGATGATCTAGAACGCTTTAGCGTCTGTCTTCTACAAAAAAAAATAAGAATGCCCTCAACCTTCCAATGAGGGAATGAGGGTATAAGCTTATAACCAAACTCCTCCACGCAGGGGCGGATCCAGGGGCATTTCGGGACACCCCTAAATTTGGGAAGATCGATTATACAACCCCCGGTGGTAATATATGTAAATACAAAAAAATTATAATTAATAGTCCGGGACACCCTGAAATTTGAAAGAACGATTATCCTACTCTCATTTGTAGTTTGGGTAATTCAAACCCGGGACACTACTACTACTAATAAATATAATTTCCATTAGACTACAACTTTTTTGTTGTTCTATTCTAAACATTGTGTAATAGCAAAATCCTATTCTCTATCTTTTATTATTTTCAAATCCTAACAATTACTCTAATTACAAGTTATCCTTGATTTGTATGGAATTTATGGTTGTACGACAAGTGTTGAAAGTGTCTTTTCAGCTTTGAGTTACATCAAGAACAAATTTAGAAGTCAAATATGCGTCAGTTCGTGAATGATTGTCTAGTAGGATATACCGAGACAAATTTGTTGAGCAGTGTAGACACCAAATGCATTTTATAATTTTTTTTAGAATATGAAAATACATCATTGACTTTTTAAAACTTGTACGAGTGAATATTTTCTTATTTCGGAATTATATAATTTTTATTAATTAATTATTTTTTGTTTTACTTTATTTTTTAAAAGAGAACACTTCCATGTAAAATTTCTTGGCCGACCATTACGAAATTTAAATTGGATTCTCTTAGATGGACCCATTCTATAGAGTTTTTTCATGCACGGGCTTGGAATCCCTTGCTTGGGCTCTGAGGCTTAAGTCCATTTAAGAGGACAAGCCCGCGGCCCGTGAATACCCAAACCCCCCAAATTTCGCTCCTAAATCCAAACAAACAGCCGTTTCGTATGCCCTTTCGTCCCTTATTTCTCTGGCCATGGGTTTTCTTCCACCCCTCTCTTTCTCTCTCTTCCCCTGCTTCCAGCCTCTCAACTTCTATCTCAGGTGGAACAACAAAACAAAACATGGAAACAACCAAAATCCAATAGCCAAAAGAAATTCAAAAACACCAACAAGCGTCAAACTTTTTTCCGCCATAATTTTATGGTATTTCCCCCCCTGCTGAACTTCTTCCCCGCCTGTTCTTACATTTCCTCCCCTGATTCTGTTTTTTGGTTTCCCGCTGTCGCCAGGTTTGGCCGGTTGAACCCAGAAACAGAGCATCCATAAAATGGCATACAAAGTGGATCATGAGTACGATTACCTCTTCAAGATCGTCCTGATCGGCGATTCCGGTGTCGGCAAATCCAACATCCTCTCCAGATTCACCCGAAACGAGTTCTGCCTCGAATCCAAATCCACCATCGGCGTCGAATTCGCCACCAGGACCCTCCAGGTATTTTTTCAAACTTTTTTCAATTCTTCGTCGGATCTGATTATGGAATCTGATTCTGATTTCTGGGAATTCATCAATTTTCCACCTTTCCTCCCCGAAATTGAAAAAAAAAAAAAATCCAGGTAGAAGGGAAAACGGTG